TATATATATATACACACACACACACACGCAAAGATATCTGGGTACAGACCCGTTAAATTTTACATTTCAGGTCACATAAATATTTATCATATATTGTGAGCCGAGGACGTAACTTATTAGGCTGCTGTTCTGGTATTCACGTGTTGCACCTGCTGCCCCACTAGGTTTCCCTCTAATTGCCAGAATCTTCTTCCCTTGAACAGCCCCCTGCAGCCTCACTCACACACAGGTAGGTTGCAAAGTGACCAGAGGCTGCAGTATCACCAAGAAAACTAAAGCAGCCACCATATCGAAGGACTAGTAAGCTGCAATATATTCAATTTTTTTTCTCGGCCTTAGATATACTTAAAAGAGAACTATGGGGTAACCTTTTTATCCCATAGTTCTCTTTAGGGTCACGGGAGGACATATACTAACCTCCTCCCATGACCCAAAGCTCAGTATTAAGCGAGTTATTGCCCGCTATATACAGAGAGCGCCAAAGCCAGGACGGATCCCGACAATACTGTCTGGATCCTCCACCTGGCTGATTGAAAGCAGGCTCTTCCTATCTAGCGCCAGAGTCAGCTGTTCCCAACCCCCGTCCGTTTCTCCAGCCAGCACTGGTGGATCGGAGAGGGGAGGGGGGGAATCCCTGAGGTGAGCAGTGACTGGCAGTCATCGCTCTCTGCAGGGAGTTGATCGGGAAGTGAGTAAGCGACGGTATGTGTTCTCTCACTTCCTGATCAATAGAGCCGACCTGCAACAGTCTCATTGTCACAGGTCGGCTAGAACTATGAGGTGAGTGAAAATCACTCGCCTCATAGTTCTCCTTTAATGTACATCTAATGGCTCCTCTGTGGCAGTCTAAACGTATCTTAAATTCAGTTACTAAGTGATGAAAAAGCCTCCTAAATTATAGATAGGGTGTCTGCTTGTGTTTCCTATAGAAGGTGGAACCAATCATCTCTGTCCACGAAGGTGACTGAGGAAATGATGTAATTCAGGCTTGCCATGCACAGCTACTACTTAGTAATGAGATCCAAAGGCAAACAAACATGAGCCCTAAAAATAACAAACATTACGATGTCCCTGTGTAGCCGGCGGAAACACAAAAAAAACTGGACTTGGGATGGAAGGAGGAGTCTATTTATTTAATGTGGTTGATGTGTTTCCTGTTGCAGGCAGGCGGAGCCTATATCTCGATGGCTGTCCTGGAAGATGACTGGGGAAAACACAATGCGAGTCAACAGACCAATCTTCCATCATTCTGCCCCCCTTATCTCCCACAATCCTCTGCCAGTACAACTCCCACCTCTTACCCATCGGCCTGTGTCCTCATCTCCAGCACCTGGAACCTCTGCCTGCCAATAGCCTTCACTTTCACCGTCTCGATTCCATATTCCTGCTCTTCCCGGTACGCATAGATCTCGGCGGTCGTTCCGAAGTGAGCTTCCCTCTGAAGGCTGTCACTGCACGAGGAATAATACACAAAGTATGTTGTAGACAGAGGTCAGCTATAACCCGGAGTTCTCTTTCAAATCAAAATGTAATAATTTGTTACTAGTGTCCATATATTTATCTATCTGCCCAAGACACAGCTACACCATGTGACCAAAAGTATGTTGGCAAAGGGTTGAGTTCCGGTGTTTCCAGTGAAGTGTACTGCTAATAGAGAGAATACAAAGACATTGTAGACACTAGCGGTCTTCCAGCCTTGTGGTCACAGTTTGGTGAAGACCCTTTTCTCTTCCACCATGACTGTCCCCTGTGTACAAAGCCAGCTCCATAAAGACATGGTGTGACCAGCATGGTGCAGAGGAAATTGAGCGTCCTGCGCAGAATCCTGACCTCAACCCTACTGAACACCTTTGGAATTAATTGAAATGGTGATTGTGAGCCAGATCTTCTCATCCAACATCAGGCACTGACCTCACACATGGGCACAGATTCCCACAGACACCCTCCAAAATCTTGGGGAAAGCCATCCCAGAAGAGTGGAGGATGACCATAGGGGTGTGGGGGGACTCCATATCAATGGCCATGTGTGGGAAAGGGACTCCATATCAATGGCCATGTGTGGGAAAGGGACTCCATATCAATGGCCGTGTGTGGGAAGGGGACTCCATATCAATGGCCGTGTGTGGGAAGGGGACTCCATATCAATGGCCGTGTGTGGGAAGGGGACTCCATATCAATGGCCGTGTGTGCTGGTGATCTGCTTTTTTGTTATGTGTGGGAAGGGGACGCCACTTTGATGGCCATGTGTGGGAAGGGGACTCCATATCAATGACCGTGTGTGGGAAGGGGACTCCATATCAATGACTGTGTGTGGGAAGGGGACTCCATATCAATGGCCATATGTGGGGAGGGGACTCCATATCAATGGCCATGTGTGGGAGGGGGACTCCATAACAATGACCATGTGTGCTGGTGATCTGCTTTTTTGTTATGTGTGGGAAGGGGACGCCACTTTGATGTCCATGTGTGGGAAGGGGACGCCACTTTGATGGCCATGGTTTTTGAATAGGAAGTTTAGCAAGCTCATAGAAGCATAATGGGCAGGTGTCCACAAACTGTAGTCTTTAGTAGGCAACCTCTGCACACCAGCTGTGGTAAAACTACAAATCCCATCATGTCGCTGGCTCTGGGAGTCATGTCTGTGGCTGTCAGTCTTGAAATGCCTATTGGGACTTGTAGTTCCACAACAGCTGGAGTGCTGAGGTTGCCCATCCCTAATTCATAGTGTTTCCTCCAGTGCTTCTATGTACACCCTTTTCTCAGACACGACACTGACACCCGTCAGATAAAACCATGCGTTACATGCGGACATTTAATCCCATTAGAGTCCCACATACCTGTATGCCAGCACGGCAAACGTTCTGTCCCTCTGGATGAGGCTGCGGACCATGCTGACCTCTTGTGGCCGGGAGAGGTGCAGCGGCAGAGTCTGACCTGGAATAAGCATCACTTGCACGTGCGGCAACACTGGGATATGCTGACAGCTGTCATCGTCGTGCAACGTCCGACCATGGAACTCCTCCATGTCTATACCCAGGTACTGCGGGAGAGAGGAGAGCTACAAATCACATCCATCACTGATAGGTTTAAACTACAACTACATTTCATAGTGCTGTCAGTTTTTATTGTTCCCAGTTTTCTTCTGTGGACTACAGAACAACCCGCCCCCCCCCCACTACAATGATGAGGAGGGAGCAGGTGTTCAGTAGCCCTGTAGGGTGACAACACTGCTCCCTTTACAGATGTAACATGGTGAGTCAGTGTTGTCACCCTAGGACAGGAAGTGTGCTACTGGCAGAATCACCCGGCCAAAATAAAAGGGGAAAAGCCTGAAAAAACTAAAGCCGCCCCCATGTAAGGACCGGAAAGCTGCAATATGGGATGCTCTTGTCCACGGGTTTACATACGCTCTAAAGGTGACCCTTTCATACGCACTGCATGAGATGTCGGCAAGCTGGTGTCAAAGTTAATAACGGTGGGAGCCTCCGAGTCTCCTCCATCTGGGTCCTCCATCTCCATGTCATCGTCCTCCT